AGTCAGCATGAAAAGCTTCAAAACAGCCATGAGCAAGCAGTCAATGCTGCAAGCAAAGGCTTTGCTTCGCACGAATGAGTTGGGGCTGGGGGCTGGGCATGGAACATACTGCCCCGTCGCGTCAGCCCTCGCCTCCTGTGTGCAGTGGAGGCTCAGGCTTTGTCGTCGTTTAGCCCTCGCCCGAAGGCTCAGGCTTTGTTGTCGTCTGGCCCTCGCCCACCAAGAAAAATGTACAATATAGGTACCCCTCAGTACATATCGGCAACCGCACCCAGAGTATGTAATTATCCCCACGGGATCCCACGCGTAGGGTCATTGTGCATTAGTTGGGTAGGGGCCTGGTCTCTCGCCTGCTGCTGCACTGATTGGCATGTCTCCTGCCAGATTTTGCTGGCTTGCTTGTTCCGCAGCCATGTCGGTTCATGCCGCCTAGTTGTTTTCGCTTCAACACTCCCTGGCTCTGCCCATTGCACACCATGGCTGACTCCCGCTATGCACCTGCTGGGGCTTCCCAGCGCTAAGGTCACCGCTCAGCGCCCACTGCGGGTCAAGTCTCTGCCCAGCCTGCCCGTCCGCCTGCTCCGCCTCTTCCGCCCGGTGTGGGGCCTGACATTGCCCCTCATGCAGTGCCTGTGTTCGTGCCTGGCGCCGCTTCCCACCCGCCGGGTCCTGCATTTGAGGGAGGTTCGGTCATTGAACAACCGTTTACGGTCAGTATACAAAATGGCACATTGGCCGGCAACACACAGGCTTAATTAAAGCCATACAGAACAAATCTTCTTGGCCAGTCAGAGGGCTCCGGTAAAGCAAATAAACAAACAATCAAAAACCCACCCCGCCTGGGCCCCCTGCTCGGGCTGGTACTGCACTTGCTGCTGCCACGGGTCCTGTTTATTCCTGTTTTCCCTCTGCCTGACCCGTCTGGCCGTTCTGCACTTCAGCCTATTGTCTCTGCGCCCCCTGCACAGTTCCCGCAGTCCACTCATGCGCAAAGACAGTAGTTAATATATGTCTGATGATTTCCTGACCGACTTATAAGCTTGTCAAATACATGAAATGCGGCTGCTGATTTGCCAAAAACTGCACTTGTGGGCTAGAACATGGTCAGCCCTGCAGAGGATGGGGTGGGCTTGGCTTGGCTGCGTGGGCAGGGGGGAAGGCGGCCAGGCCGGCACTTGCCGCCAGGCCCTAGTAACAAGCCAAAACGCTGCACCGCACTGTGCCTATCCCGCACGCCGCTACTCTCTTTTGCCTTGGCGGCATACACTTTCTCCTGGGGATGCTTTGCAGCCTCCTGCTGGGCTGGAGCAGTGGATGTCCAAAACAGGTCTTGTCGAACAACCAGGTAATAATGCGACAACATCTTAGCTTGCTTTGGATCATGCCCAGTGTGGAAAGCCGCCGAAAAAACGAACACTTCAGATGTGTTCGGGATAGGGCGCAGGACTCAACGTTTATGATTTGCCACCGGCCAATTCTCAGGGATTTTCCCTGGTCCGTAATTGACCGCGTGACGCCCCCCGCACTGCGCTAGCGCACAGTAGCGTGCCCTACAAGCTTAAGGCTAGGCCCTTCGGATTGCTAAGCATCCGGCGCATGCATCAATTTCCGATCTAAGTGATATTCTCCGGACCCTGCAGTGCTCTCCTGGAACTTCTTGAAGGGGAGATCTTCTAGGAGAGGTGCGCAAATGCACTGCAGCACTGGTCTTTACAGCAGGTCAGGATCCGGTACTTCACGTCTTCTGGAACCCCAAGGTCACGACCTCAAGCGTACATTTGGAAGAACTTGGTTGTCTCGCTTGCTGGTGCTGAGCTCGTCACCAATTACGTACCACATGATATCTAAGCAAAGCATCCTGGCATTAGCACACCTGGCCACAATGTCAAACAAGATCCATCGCTTCATCGGAGAAGGGAAGTGAAGCCTGGCCTTCACCGCCTGAGCCAAGCGATGTCCTTTGATGGGCGCTGTGGCCCTCCAAAGTGCCTCTCCAGCACTGCAAGCACGAAAATGAGAGGGTTTGTTTTGAATAGGGGATTGCAAGAGCCACGCTAAGCACGGCCAGAGCCTTGGCCTCGTCCACGGCTGTCAGGTCCTGCGCAGACATGCCCATGCAATTATTCATAATAGCGCAATTGCTCGGTTGCTTTGAAGCGTATAAGTTGGCAGAGATACGGCAACGCACGGCGTCGCAGAATGACAAATCATTTGGCTTGACAGACCAGCATTAAACGGAGAGCCCGAGAAGATATAACGATTGATTATAACATACAAACGCAAAACCGATAAATAACACCAAATAAATCAAATTTCCCAACTGACGCACGGACAAATCGAGAGACAGAGAGGCTAACAAATTCGAGAGATCATGAGGTCGACAGATTGACAGCCCGACAGACAGACGGACAGACAGACACAGCGGCAACCTGACGGAAAGTTGATTGCCTGGCAAGCTACGAGATCGACGGACCTTCTTTCTCAAACCGTTTGACGGGTAATTTCATAGACTGAAATACCGACTCACACACGGACAGGCAGATTTCAGAAACGGCTAAATCGACAGAATTAGAGACCGACAAACCATTCAATCGACTCGACTGACAGATTCATAGAACGACAGACCGTACGAGTGATTGACCGACAGACCATCAGAACGACGGACCAAAAGACGGAGAGATTGACAGGTCGGCACCCTGACTGATTGACCGTCGGAGATCTAAGAGCTTCAACAGAATGGGGAGCGCGATCTGCGCCCGTCGACCGAGCCGGAGAGAGATAAATGACGCGGAGAGAGGGGGCGAGGCGGGGCTTGTGAACAAAACTCTTCCAAGAATTTTGGTCGCCCTTCCCCCACCGCACCAAGACCCTCTAAGATTTCAGGAAATCTTTATAGCCCCTAGGGAGCCGCGCACAAAGTATTTCAATAGAGAGCCGGAAAAGCTAGCCCCACGCGAGCAACATGGCCACAAGTGGCCTCGCCATTTTATCGAGGTATCATACTCATTTTTTACTCAATAAAAGAAAATCTACCCTATCGATTCCCAATATCATCCGTAGGTATAGAAGATTATGACATTAAAAATCAGCTCCTATATAATTTTAAAGAAATGTAGTCCCAAATCTTATATATATATATACATATCACTTCGAACTTCAGATTCTATCCAAATATAGTAATCTCCAATAGAGAAAGAGAGTCGCATTCATTTTCCAAATTCCAATCCCCATCTATAATCGGGATAGCCGCATCTTGAACCTGTACTGGTATGAAATATTTTAGAGATATGGTTTCTTGTAAGGAGATCCGCCCAGGCGAAAGCTAAGCCTGCCGCCTGAATTCCAAATCGAAAAGCTCATTCATTCCCTGAAGCCTAAACCCCCTTAGCCTTTAGATTTTAGGATGCTCATGACCTCTTATGCGGGCAATGGATCTTGAGCCTTGACCGTCAAAATAGAAGTCAGTGGTCAAGCCAAATTTGAGATCTATCTCCACTAATATATTAAGGTACTGTAAGATTTAGGGTGAATATGTGCTTTCGCATCCAGAAACTCCTTTATAGAATTGTCTCAGCAGATATCTTACGCACCGCGCGAGGTCTTATATATATATATATACATATATACTAAAGTGATAGTACATTCCTTAGCTAAAGCCAATATATAGCCTCCTAAACGTCCCCCCCAATCTTACTTTAGTCTGTAGCTCACATTGAGGCTCGTGGGTACAATGATAGATATGGGTATCCGCATGCACTCGTCTTCGCATCCGGTCTCCCGCCGCCATAGCTCTGCTTCGCGTCTGGTGCGGTCAAAATACATAGTGTAAATTGAGAATAATCGAGTCACCGCAGTTATCCCTCAAGTTCCGGTTCAAGGCGCTTAAGGATACGCGGGCCGCGCGTCCAATCCCCGTATTAGATCTCATAGCCTCCTAGCGTGAACTAGCATATTTCCATTGACATCTCATATTTACGGAGAAAGCCGCCATTAGCCTTTACACTTCCAGGACTCTTGCTGAAATTCCTGCCAAATGTTCTTCGCAATCCTCCCTATCCAAACCTACTTGGGAATTCCTAATGTGTCTGAAGAGACTGCCCGAAGACCTGGGAGAATTCAAAAGACATTTTATGAGATGCCGAAAGCGTAGGTTCAGGCTTCTACAGAAGAATGCCCTGATATGCGCCTTGTGTCGTTTCAATCTCAGCTAAAATTCTTGAAAAAAACTCAAGAGCCTCGCCTTCAAGAGCACAGGGCCAACAGCATAAATCTTTTGTGCCGCATGATGCTACACGGTTAGACAGCCTCGCGGATGTGTCTTGGGACCTTTCAAGGACTTCTGAGAAGCTACAAGCAAGCGCTCTTCTCGCTCATGCCCTGCCTGGGCCTGGTACTTCTCTCTGTCACGAGGGCCTATGCACAAAACAGGCGCTTGTGCCGCAGGACTCCTTGCTTTGTGGATCTCTGCCACACTTAGAAGAGCACTGAATGGGATGTCCTCCCACTCACTAGGAGCTGTTGTGTACAGCAGCTTACCGCTCCATCCGTCCTCTACAAATCAGCCAAGACATTCGTTGCTGAAAAAACTGTAGCCCCGAAGCTGCAGTATGCTGCAGTCCTGTCTAAGGAAGGCCAAGATCTGGCGAAGGCGCTCTAAGGGCACCTTCCCATCTGCCTTCACGCTTCACAGCAGTAGCCGCTGTAGTCACCTGCCTCAGAGTAGAATGAACCCTCCTGCCTTCCAGGAGATCAGCGCCTTCAGCATCAGACGCAGAACTCCACGGAACCTTGGGCCGACTGCCTTTTGCGCAATGCAGCAAGCTGTCTCTTGTCTGAGAGCGGGACAAGGATTGCTGCGGCATGTGTGTCATGTCCTGGAAATGTCCGTCTGACAGCTGAGCTCCAAATGATAAAAACATTTTTGGCAAGAGTCGTTGACAGACAAGATGGCAGTTGTCTGATTGCCAGGCGGCACATAGCTCCTGCAAAGCTTCTCCGAAAGCTGGGCAGCCAGACCACCAGATGTCAATCTCGCCTCGTTTCCGCGACATACTCCTCCATCGTGAGGCTTCCCCTGCCATCATGGCCCGCATCTCGCAGCAACCAGGCATATCATCTCTGTTCGAGATGTTAAGGTGGTTTTCGTTCTGCAGCGATGCCAAACTAGCCTGAAGTTGTCGTTCCCTCCAATCAGGAGGAAGGTCACTGCTGAGTCTGGCCAGAACACGGGCGTTGGCAAGTTCATGGCCTTAGTTAAACGTTACGACAGACTATCAGGACAATGAGGGCACCCAGCACCAGCGTGAGGCAGCTACGCATCCACCGTTGATGACCACAGCCTCGAAAGTCAAAGAATGATAGCATTGAGCATCGTGGGAGAGCTTCTTACAAGGCACAGCAGTGCTCGGATCATGACTGGGGGCACAGGAGGAATTAGGCCCTGTGCCTGGCAATCGAAAAAAATACTGGCATCTCACTCGTGCAATCCCCGCCCTGCTAGGGAAGAAAACCGCCCTCTTAACATACTCTTCACATGAGGTCTCCGTCGGCCTCTGCCTGCCACATATGTGGCAGAACCTTAGTTGGCCCATTCTAGCTTCCACTGTTCCATTATCCCTCTATAACCCCTAAATAGATAAGGGGCCTATCAGGGTTTAGGGTTTAGGGTGGTGGATAAAGAATTTCACTCCAAGACTCCGGCCACTTGCCCACCACGTGAGCCAAAAACAAGAGCCTGGGCATCCCGGTGTGCTCCGGTCTCCAGCACCTGCTTCAAACACATTATACAACCCCTATACAATATAGTAGTTTCCATGTTATTTTCCATTATTCCATTATCCCTAAATAAACCCTATTTAAAACCCTACATGATATAGTTAGTAGTTTTTCACTTTATGTTCCACTATTCCATCATCCCTACATAACCCCTACGTAATACAATATGGTAGTTTCCAATTCCTTTTATTTTCCATTATCCCAACACAAGGCCCTGAGAAGTTGAAGGTTAGTGCAAGAGCTGCGTCCTCCTCTGCAAAGCTCTGCAGGTTGGGTGCGGGCGCGCCCTGAGGCCAGCATGGCCTGACAGAGGAAAAGGCAATTATTCCACATACTTTGGGTCCAGCTGAGCCCTGTACCTACCCTCTATTAGGGCCTAAGTACCTACTATTAGAGACCATATATCCCCAACTAAGGGTACAAGGAGGGTCCTAAACCCTAAACCCTAAATCCTAAACGGTTGAAAATGAAAATGGAAGATATGTCTTGCTGAGAAAGTCGCGGATAAACATCATAGGGTGCCCTCGACCGTCCAATGACATCCACCTCACGCAGCTGCCAGCAAAAACCAACCTTCCAGGTTGACATCCCTGCCTTGAACGACGGGCTGCGTGCTAGCTCAGAATAGACTGCCCCGTTGATGCCCGTACCGGCACCTGTCGAATCCAAGAGAAGAGGTCTCGAGATTCCCATTCTCCTCAAGACAAACGGTTCCAAGCCCACAACCATACCGATTTCGCAGTAATTAGAAATGCTTCACACTCTCTACAGCTTTCATAAAACGCGTTGCTCATCACGAAATTATATCAACTGCTGACCGCCCAGCGCAACTGGCCTGGGGCCACGATTGCGACAGTGATTGTTGATGAGGCCATTGGCTTGGCTTTGACTTTCACTTCCTGCATTTTGTCATGAAAAGACTTTGCAAGAGGTCTTCCTGTTGGCATACCTGGCCTGTCTCCGTGACGCGCACATTGGCGACGAGAACGAGACAGGTGAAGGCTGGCCGTTCTTTAAGAGCGCAAACAGGCGCTGTTCCTCACATGTTCCAACTTCTCCGCAGGCTTGGCGCTGGCTTGGCATTGCAAATTCTTCAGGAACAAAATATTCCAAGGACACTGCGGCCGAGCTGACCCAGTCTCGGTGGCCAACCAAAGGAGATAAATGAAAAGCAGGCATGGCTTCAGCCTGCGGACCAAGTCTAATCAAGTTCACAATAGAAATTAATCCGCCATGTTCACGTTGCAGGCAATGCTCCAGCCTCAAATCTGAGCCGATAGTCTGAAGTCTTAGGTACTCTTCCTTCGTTTGGTGCGGTATGTGTTGGTGTAGTATTAGATGCTTATGTTATGAGGCTCCGGCAACTTTGGAACACAGCTGTATGTTTTGATTCTGCCACCCTGGATTCTCCATGTTGGGCCAGCTGACAGTGAGCCAAGACAAGGGTACGCCATTCAGGTGCCGTGCTTCGCATGACGGAGGACTTTCTGAGAAGTGAATGGGTGTGACTCCACCCCATGACTCTCTTGAGGAGGACCTTGGACGTTTTCACAATGCCAGGTCGCAGGAAAGTCTTCAGCTGAGAGAGATTTCAGCCCGAAAGCGCCTACATAGCCCAAGAAAAAATGCAGAAAGCCTTCCAATGTCATCATGCGGGGGTTGCTAAGTCAAATGAGGCCTTTGGCGAACCAACCTAAGCCCGGCTTTCACCTGCCCAACACCATAGCAATCTGACCAGGCTTCTAGTAAATCTCAGGTCAGAGGTCAAGTGTTCGCATCGCACATCCAGCATTTTACCTTTTTCAAAAGCTTCCAAACAATGCTACGGCAGGAAAGGTGAAAATTGCGGGAAATCTACCGCTCTGACCGCTGCCTGACGCATCGACATCTCGATGTCTTGACCATGACATCAGGCTGCGCTTGCCGAGTTGCATCCAGTTGCAGTCTGAGTCGCTTGGCGTAAAGCCGAAGAACCCGGCGAGACTTTTCACCGTCCGGCCCTTTGAACCAGCCAAAACTGGGCACAAAGACCACACGCCTTGCAAGCAACAGCCCATTCGAACCAACGGCGTCCATGCAGGCGAACCGAAAATCTACACGCATGCCTGCCGGCAGACCTTAAATGCTCTGCAGCAGACCTTCCTGTCATATCCTGTCATGGCATAAGATTGTCCAAGAAACTGACGCTGAGCAGGTACCGACGCTATGGCTTTGAGCGTCTGATAGACACTGTTCACGTTGTCCACAAACCTTCAGTGAGCTTTGCAAACACTGATGATTCGAACATTAGATGATCACTTAGCACACCTTTTAGATCCAAGCAGCATATGTATCGACGTGGCACCTCGTTTGCCAACCTCGCCTGCAATAGCCTGCGAAAGTTGCCGCACCTTGAGCTCAAGATTAGACAAGCTGCGTGGATGCTGCAAACTGCTACGCTATTTGAATCAGGAACGTGTCCTTCTGAATGCAGCATCCGAAGTCTTATTATAAGGCAACGTCTGAGGTTGACCCTGCCCCAACGACAGCCAGCATCGCATGGAAACTGAATTAGGCTGCAACGGTTCTGAGGCGCTCTTGCTGTGTCCATGGGAACATTCGCTCGAAATTAATTTCATGTTACGGCAGCCTGTCATGAGATAGCCCACTCTCATAAGCAGATGTGGTTGGCTGGTAAACTTTGCAGATCTGGGAGAAGAGGTATAACAGATTGTGCTTTGAGGCGGCTTGTGGCCTGCACGCTCTACGCACTTTCAACCAGATAAGCTTCAGGAACCAATCCGTCGTGATGGCTGAAATCTGAACCCAAGTCACTCTTGCGCACTTTAACAACGACAAATGGCAACCGAGCTACTTTCTGCAGATTTTTCACAACACCGGCCTGTGGTTGATCTCCTGCTTTGAGGAGAGCCGTTTGATGAAAATCGGTGCTGTTGAACTCCCTTGGTCAAGCAATTCAGTGCCTTGTAGGCAAATGTCAACAGAACATATCCCAAGACTTGCAGCAGAGGCTCGTCCAAGATTGACCTGTGGTGACCAGAAGGTGCAGGGCGCGGCCTTTTTGTCCAGAATGCGTGTAGTCCACCCAGCTAGCCTGAGCAGTTGTAGAAGGGTGTTTGAAATGTTGAGACTGTTGAGATGGTGCCTCCACCTCGGCTGTGACACCTTTCTTCAGAGCAAGAGCCTCCAAGGCGTGCCAGGCCTTTGCAGTCACAATTGCCAAGACACGGCTCGCAGTCACACCACGAGTTGCCGCATTTGCCGCAGAGCGTCTGCAGAGGCACCACGGCACTGCATGACCACAGGAGGGTTCCCAGGTTGCAATCTCGTGTGGACGGTGTCCCAGAAGGTTTTCTTGTCCTCCTTTGACAGTCAAACTTCATCAACAGTCTACTCAAACGGAAGCAGCAAAGGATGCTCCTTGGATGCATTTTGACCAGGCGGGTAAGCAACAAAGCTGCCCTCAGCCGCACGGCTTGACTCCTTGGTAATTAAGTCGAATCAAAACACTGGCTTTGAAAGCACGAGACGCGGAGGCCATCACTGCCCAGGAAGTGGGTGTACGCGCGTGGATGATCAATCGAGGGGTCTCCCCTTCCACGGAGGCAGCCTGATGAAAGCATGGGTCACTGCTTGTGCAAGCAAAGAAACAAATGTGCAGCTCAGGCTCCGTGCACAAAAGGCGATCATCCTCACAAGTAGCAGTTGTACCCTTCAAAGTGGTGGGAGCCGCCTACACCCAAACACATGCTCTTTTTAGGAGACCGCTAAAAGATGGCATTCACTTTGCCTCAGAAGTGCACCGTAGGCATGACAAGTTCTTGGTGTGTCGGCGTCTACGTCGAATACTGCGCTGCCTTGGCTGCCAGGCTAGGCACAGCCGCCAGAGCCTTGGAAGTGGGCAAAGTATGGGGCCACAAGTAGTTCACAAAGTTACCCTAGGTCATGTCATCCGCTGCACTTACCTCCAGCATCGTCATTGCTGCAGGTGCCGCCTCACACGCCGCAAAGCCATGCAACGTACTTCAACCACATATTCCAGCTGACGAACGCTTGGACATGGACATCCACAAAAGTATGGACAGCAACCTTGGATGCGAATTCAATCGCCATTCTCCTTCGCACAAAAAAAAATGCATCTGTGTCGAGCAAGCGACTGAGGATTTGTCTCGAAGCTCTAATTCCAACTTTTGCGCCAGTTTTGAAGGCATCCTCAAGCATGCTTCTGGCCAACGCCGCAACATTCTAAAAAATGCAGAAACGTCGTTTACGGATCGGGACCTGAATCCGCACTGATCACGAATCATTACAACTCCTACACAGCATCACGAGCTACGGACAAAGTCTGGCCAAAATGGAGCCCTAAGGGTTGAAGGACCCAAATAATGAGTTCTTGGGGCCCCAATACTAATGTTTAATGGTATTTGGGCCCGAAAACCATATCACTTGGGTCCTGGGACCCTTAGGGGAAATTGTTGGCGGGCAGCGTTGATCTGCTGACGAAGTAGCCTTTGAACCTTGCCATACTTGGAGGTTCAAGGGGACTTGGCAAGTAGGATAGGGTTTAGGGTTCAAGGGAACTTTGTAAGGTAGGCTAATAACCCCTACGAGGCATATAGTAATCCCAATTACCCCCATGATTGACCTACTAAGTTCAGTTCCCATGACCCCCCAAATGCCTTTTCAATTGAAAACTCACTCAGGCCAATTGTACACGGCGTTGTTTTTCTATGGAACCTCTCCCGATACCTGTTCATCAAGAGCTTGGCTTCTATTCAAGATGAGGCACAAATCCTTGCTGACATCTGACCATTCAGGCCCGCTCCGTGCCAAAACACGCAGGGATCGGGTTCGACCGTCAGACTCAGTTGCATAGCACACCTGCGCAGCATTCTGCAACCATTACCATATTGCTACGTTTTTGTTACAGACGGCCTCGAACTCGGCGGCTCTTTGACCGATTGAAAAGGCTCTCACCAGATGCCACGCAGCCTGGGGCAAAACTTGTCTGAAATCAAGGGTCGTGCCCACAACTTTCCTGGCCTCTGGCGAGTGGGGCAGCAACTCCACTGTTCTTCCAGCTTCCAATTCCTGAACCCGTAAGATGCCGAAAAATACCAGAAGTTCTCATAAAATGCCATGGACAGCAAGGATTATATGACATGACGGTAACAGTTCACCTGCGAAACCAGGCCCGCAAATTTGTCTGAGCTGCCTTGGGTCACGCAGAAGGGCTTGCAAAAAGCGAGATGCTTTGCAATACACACGTTCACTTCTGTCTCGTTTAACAGGCTAATGCGTGATTGCATGAATACCAAGCGCAATCAGCGAGCCAAATATTGCTGAACATGATGCTCGACGAAGCATTTGCACCCGGTAAACTCACACGGTGGATTGGCTGATCCTGCGTGCACTAAGGAAGCAAGGGCTTGCAAACAAATGGCACGCAGATGTCTGTCAGTTGATTCTGAAACGAACACAACCTTGTGCATTCAAGCACATGATGCTGCTAAGGTTTCCACACGCCCAAACCAACACCCACACTTGCAACACACAACAATCCAATTCCACCCGAAAAATGGACACGCATGCAGTCTCAAGGATGATGTCGAAACTTGTCGATCTTGTTGGAAAGTGCGGCCAATGTTGACAAAACAGCAAGCCGATCCACATAAACAAATAATGTGTTGGTGCTTAACAAATTTATGATTGGAATTTTGATTCCTTCCATGCTTTCGTACAAGCGTCCCATCACCACATACTGCCATTGGAGACTGGCATCTTTAAAATGCACGACATGTTAATGTTCCTGTGTCCTCTGCGGGAAGGCCATCATCCGCAACACCACAAAACCATGAAGGACGAACTGACCTGCAATCAGAAGCAATTGGCTTTTGATACCAAAGATGATGACCAGCCGCTGCCTCCCAACAAATCTTGACAAAGGTCGCGAACATCGGCAAGACACACAAAGCATAGCTGGGAAATATCAAACACACCCTCGCAATCTACCTCGTTCACAAATGGAATGCCCAAGAAATCACATGCTCATGCTGAAACTGTGCAACGTGATAAACTGGCAGTGCCAAATGCTTCGTAGACGCTGCACATTCGGGATTTATGAACGCGCATGCAAAAGCCAACCATCTGGTCCAGGGTTGCCTGAATCACAGACCCGGCTTGGCTAGAACTGTGTACTCCAGACACTGCTCATAAATTTGCTGTTGACAACGCACACGACCCAACTCCCAACCCAACAGATGCTAGCTATAGTCTCTGATGTTTGTGCTGTTCCTGTCGTCACGCCTGTCGGAAGTGCAGCCTTCTTTCTCTCCAGCCAGAGCACACATGCCGCGAAAGTCACCAATTTTGCTGGATGACAATCCCTCATAAAGTTGCCGGAATTTCGAAATTGCATCCATAAAATATCCAACATAAATGGGATCAATCACATTGGACTCCCAATGATTAAAAACACAATGTTTGAACCAGGCTTGAGCTGTTTTCATCAGCCTTCAGACCAGACCATCCTAGGTTTCACCATGGGTGCGTTTTGCATACGTCATTCACCAATGCGCTTTTACGCGGTTCAACATCTAGGTAGTGCTGACAAAATCACGTTTTTTTTTTTCAGAGTGGACAAGAAAGTGCAACTATGTCGATCTGCCACGCAGCAAGCTCTGAGATCGGACCCCGGCTGGGACCGGGAGGAGCCGCCACATCCGCCGCTGGGGGGACACTGGCAACCCATGGCAACATCGTCAAGTCCTCGGAAGGATTCCCACGAACCAGAAGAACTTCCCTCCAGAGGCGGATGCTCGAGTCACCCGTTACGAAGGCATTACCCTACGACCAGCTAGCTTCAAGGCTAGGATGGTGGCACACAACCCCACCAAACCAATTACATGCTTGTCGCCATCCGGACCCCAGCGTTGCAACAGCCCAGCTCGCACTTGGCCTCCAACACGACCATCAAGTTCGGGCTCAACCCGCCCTCCTTTGTGGCTGGGCATTCCAGGATGGAAGCCTCCTCCAGTACGCCATTTGTGAAAAGCATCATGGGTTTTTACCCTCCAGCTTGCAAGAATCGTCCTCGGCTTTCCATTGATAACTCTGCCCGAAATTGCTTGAGTCACTTGGCTCTTGGTGCGGTACTGGCTTATGCTCAGGGCATTGATCGCGCCAGAGACCACACTGTCGACCTCGGCCTGAATGTAGGTTTTCGCCCTTTCGTAGCTAGCGCAGTCGATTTCCAAAGTGCCCGTGTTGTTTTGCAACTGGCGCTCCGGGGCCCTACAAAGCCCAGATTCCGCAGCACATTGGTGCCCTTCAAGAATTCTCAAGTGGGTGGGTTGGCGCCCCCAGCAAGCGGCGTCTCTTTGCGCAGCCGTTTCGTAGGGTGCCAAAGCCGTTGCGCAGGACGGGGCGGTTTGACTTGCGCCTTTGTTTTACGTGCTGTTGCCATGTGGCAGGACTTCCCCGGCATCGACATGCAGGGCGGCTTGGGCCAAAAAAAAGTCCAGGCTGCCAAGGACGCCGCTTGGCGGACGCCCCGTTTCACCAGTGCGTCACGTCCACAGAATATGGGGGTTTCAGGAGCAAGGACCTAGCGGCCTAGCGCAGGCGGTGAGGGCACGAGGTGCTAACTTTTTGCTGGGGATCTTAGACTTGGCACAGGTTCAGCCATCCTCTGACCTGCTGATTTAGGCCCGCAAAGACGGACACTTGGGATAGGCATGCACAGGCACGCCGACTTATGCGCCCAGGCGCTATCACGCATACGCCCATACAATGTCGCCTGCACTTGCTGGAGCTGTTCGCCCAACTTAAAAGATTCGAGGGCCCACATCAAACTTTGAGCCGTGTCCGGCTTCAGGTTGAAAGCTGAGTTTGAGCCACTATGATTTGAGCCATGTCTGCTGAACAAATACAGACACTCCAAGAGCACTCCGGGGCGGGGGTGTTCTGCATCAATGATCATCAAAAATAGAAAATGCATCACGAGCATATCCAAACTCTTTAAAACAAAAGTTGAGGCAGGGGGGGGGCGGGCAGGTCTAAACTAAAGTCTCAACCTTATTTTGGACAATTCTAAAAAAGAATAGGCCGGTCTTTTACCCAATCCAATGACAACCCTAGCCGGCTACCCCCCAACACCCCTATCCCCGTCCCCCCAAGAGATTAAGGAGAGACAAACATGTTAAGGGGCCACTGCCAACAGGCAACGAAAAAGAATCCGAAAGCAATGCTCATCCTTGATGTAAAGTGCTTTGGTAATGTTTCGCGGTTTTGTCTGGAATTTACAGAAATTTATTGAATTTGGATGGGTTTCGGGCTTTGGGGGTTGTGGAATTTTTTTCGGCAAGGGAGCTCAGCTCAGCCCCGAGAAGGCTGGATCCAGAAGCGAATTTCGAGCAATTCCGAGCGTTTCGAGCAACCCACCCAAATTCCGAGCAAGCAAATGCACAAGCAAAGTAAAAGGGCGAATTTCGAGCAACCCACTCGAATTTCGAGCAACCAGCCCGTATTCCGAGCAAACGCAATCCAATTTTGAGCGTTTCGAGCGGGTGGTTCCCAGGCCCCAAAACCACCCCGAACCGGCTCATCCAGCCTCAGATTTTCGTTTTCGGCGATTTTCAGCGATGTTTTGCGATTTTCGGCGATTTTCGGTGGATTTCGGGAATTTTGTGTTTTCCACGTCTTTTCGGCATTTTCGGCTGCGGAAAGGGAAAAACCTGCTAAGTTGCTATCGGCTCGGTTGTTTGCATCTGAAACACAAAGGTTAAGGCTGGCTGCTGCAAGTCCTCAATTTCCTCAATCTCTAGCCCTGTTACGTTTGACACCGCTCAGGTCCCTTCTCTGCAAGCAATAGCTTCAAGATGCCAAGCGCCCTTAATGCTCAAATTGCGAGAAGTTGCGCCGCGGCTTGTGCTAAATAGATGATATGGCGGGGAGGCCAAGCCACAAAGCTGCAAACATCTTCATGGCAATTATCATGATTTTTCCCATTCTGCCAGCCACGGGTTTTCTCACGAGGATTAAGGACGGCGCCATTTGGGTTTTGACTCCTCGAACAATCCGGTTGATGGCCGATCAAATAAGACGGGAGATACTGAACAACTCAAAGAACGCCTTGCGCTCTTGAACGTTGTCGTCGATGGCGTGCGGGTGATTCGGGAAGGATGGGTTCCTCGCGTTTGGCTAGTGCGTTTCCGGCTACTTCCTGAAGCTCCAGGCCGATATGTGGATGAGCGGTCGCTGTATGCTATCAAGGGCATGATCAGGAAACACTTGGCGTCTCCGTTTCCTTTCCACATCAAGATTCTGGTCTCGTTGCGCATTCAGCGGTTGAACCCCCAGTCCGGCGAGCTCGAGGAAAATACCAAATTCAGAACCGCATGACTTGGAATCCTGAGCTGCGCACTCGCCGCATCGTCTCCGCGGCTAGGTGGAGATTTGAAACCGCTGCGCGGCACCAATTGGATCGACCGGGCGTGTTTGCTCCAGGTGTCGGCGGAAGGTGTCGCGTGGCGCTGCCGCCGTTCTTGACGCACCAGGGGCGCAGGCTCGCGGTCGGTGCTTTGAATGGTGCGTTAGACCTGCTATCCTGGAGGTAGCCAGTTTATGCCAGTTTGGACCACCGCACCAAGCGTCACACAACTCAATTTTCAGGGCCGCCATTTTTCGCGCATGCTCGTGGACGTCGTGCCGATTGAGGCCATCACGGACTTTGAGCTCTCGAATCTCAGGATGGTGAGAATGCGTTGACCAGGCGCAGTGCGGCCAGGAGAAACACTCTGCTCAGGACTCCTCCCCAGAAAGTTCTTCAAGCCAGAACGGTTGCCACGCGCTTGGTTTCGCGATTGCTGCACGAAGGCCGCTACTTGCTTTATAATTTAGGCGCCCAGTTTAAGCGCCTTCGCCAGCCAGAAATCAGGTCAAGGCAAAGCACCGTCGATCCCGCGTTTTGCGTGTTTGTGCTATCTGCAGGTCCATTCTCGAGTCCGAGATAGCGTTGCGACAAAAACTGGAGATACAACCACAAAAATAACTTGATTTGGCAGCTTGGGCAAAATGACGTCCACTGTGCTCCTGGAGAATGCCGTGCTTGCCTGAGATCCTTTTAACGCAGGAAGAAGCGCCGTGCAAAAGTTGCACACCACTGCCACGTTTCAGGATCCTTCTTGGGGTCATTGTGCCAGGATTGCAACAAGGCGGCTCACACTCCAAACCGGATTACAATATGCTGGCTCCACGAAGTTCTCAATGGCTTACGCTTCCATGATGACATGTGGGAGACCACCTACCTGGTGTTCGTGGATTACGACTACCCCCGAGATGTGCGGGATGCTCTCGACTTTCCAATTTTACCTTGCACCTCTTTGAACCCAATCCACGCGGTCCTTGTGCGGAGCCCGGGTCCAGAGCTCGGGGCCGGCTGGCCATGCGGGGTTGGCTTTGCAGGCTAGGGCTAGGGATGAGGCCCCTCACCCCCGTGCAGGGAGGCGGCTGTCGACGGGGCCGTCTGGCCCGTGGCGCTCCATCACCCTACCGGCTTGCAGTCCCTTCTGCAAAGGTTGGCTCGTACACCAAACATGCCGTGGGCAAGGGCAAACCTGTTGAACCGGGCTCAGGGCGGTGCGTCGGTTGCAAACATCAACACGGAGATCTTTGAGCCAGACGCTTTTTTGGGCACGGTGCGGAAGGGTACAGAGTATGAAAAGGAATGTCAACCCAGATTGGCTGGGCAGTTTTGGAACTTGTTTTTTCCCTGCGGTCTTTTATGCCTGCACGAAAGTGTCCCCAGTCCCCGAACCGGAGCTACTGCTAAGTTCTCCCGCTGCCACGCGCGGTCCCGGCTTAGGGCCGCA